CACCCGTACGAGCATATTCCTACCAGCATCCTCACCCTCACACAATGGATCCGATCATCATATATACACTTACTGCTGCTGTTTCTTTCAAAGCTACTGCATAGATAGACCATGTACCTTTGTGTTCTGCATTTCCTTTCAGATTTATTAAAGATTGTAACATAAGTGGAACGATACCATCTACTCTTGGTCAACTGAGCAGCCTCCTCCGCCAGCTGTTAGCTCCCTGACTCCCCGTCTGTCTGCGTGTGTGTGAAATGTCTTCATGTTTTCTCTTTGATCGTCTGTGGAGGGTGTCGTGCCATGCCATGCCATGTACGTAAGTGAAGCGATAATGTAACATAGACAGAATGATGCGATGTGAAATTATGTACACTCAGCAATGTGGTTTGGTTTCGTACCTGCAAGCCACCCGAGGCAAAGTCATCATACTGCATAGTTCACACATTCATGACGCCTTTGCTTCCTGCCATAGCTTTGCGTCCCCATATGCATGCATACGTACATACATGGATACATACATACATACATACATACATACATACATACATACATACATACATACATACATACATACATACATACATACATACATGCATGCATGCTTCCCACGTTGCAGGTCCCTAGCTTATAACTTCATCGAAGGGACCCTCCCGGCATCAATCAGCAACTTGTCAAGTCTGAGAGCACTGTAAGCTTCAACAGTTACGAAAAAATGTACATCAAGGAAATCAGTCACATGCTTTTTTCTGGTACAAGGTTTAGTTGAGTGGTGGCATCTGCTGGATTGTACCTGGTTTTTGTCGTGATCACTTACGCTTTGCCCATGTGTGTTTTGAGTCTTCTCAAAAGTCACCTTGTGTTTTTCAAGGAAATTGGCCGGCAACAACCTTACAGGAACGTTCCCTGCATCAATTCTGAGCCTGTCCGCACTTCAAACATTGTAAGTCGATTTTGTGTGAACCACTGTTCAATTTCTGAAAGAATCTTTACCAGGGCATTCGGATGTAAAGAGAGTACAATCAAATAGGCAAGCTGAAATGAAGAGAGAAACGAAGAAGTGGAGACAGAGAGAGAGAGAGAGAGAGAGAGAGAGAGAGAGAGAGAGAGAGAGAGAGAGAGAGAGAGAGAGAGAGAGAGAAGGGGATAGTTAGTCTGATACAGGTCATGTTGGTTCTACTTGCCCTTGAGTGTACTACACGTTCTATATCAATGAAAGGACCATTCGAGAGAGACAATCCCCTAATGACCTAGTGCTCGATTTCCCTAATGCAATGCTTTAATTTCTTAATGTCCTAATGCTCTAATTGCCTGATGCCCTAATTCTCTATTTCCCTAACGCCGTAATGCTCAAATTCTGTAATGACCTAATGCTTTAATTCCGGAATGCTCTAATGCTCTAATTCCCTAATGATTTAATGCTTTAATTCCCCAATTCCCTAATGCCCTAATTCTCCAATTCCCTAGTGTTCTAATGCCCTAATGCCCTAATCCCCTAATGCCCGAATTCTCCAATGCCCTATGCTGGATCATACATCTCCTTTGTATCCTACATTGATCCTATGAACTCTAGGCTAGAGATATGCACTCAAACTATGTTTGGGAACCCAACTTTGGCCCAATCATTTTGCCCCCAAGGTTGGGTTGGGAGATGATTGAAACCGCCAATAATGTTGGCCCAACTTTCGCCAAGATTGTTGAGACCCGCAGTAATTTCCAACCCAACTGTATTGGTGGGGTGCAATAATGTTGGCCAATACCCAACGAACACCCCGCTTCTCTTGCACAACTATGTATACCATCTTACACCCCGCTTTCCTAAAACAATGATCGGTTCATCTTCACAATTCTCACACTGTAACGCCCTCATTCCTAAAGCCCTAATGCCTTAATCCTTCAATGCCCTAATGCCCAATGTATAAGGAAGGTCGTGCTCTTGCATTGCCAGTGCATGCATTCGATTGGCCAGCTCGAATGCCAGGCCTAGGCTTGACGATTTGCTCTGCTTATACGTAATCGCCAATTTCGTTATACGTGAGAACGAAATTAACTAATCAAAACCCTACGCCTCCTCAGTGCTCTATCTCTTGGTTATATCATCTCTACTAAGCCGTAGAACCCTGAACCGTTGATGCTTAAAAGTGACTCTTACATAACACATTGTTTTCGGGTTGGCTTTCGTTTTGAATGTGTGCTGCTGCCTGCAGGGATCTGAGTTACAACTCGTTTTCAGGCCTTCTCCCTTCATCGTTCGGAAGCATGATAAGCCTTCAGTACTTGTAAGCCAAAGCGAAAACATTTCCAAAAACATTCCGTGCAAAAGAGAAGAATTCCGTGTTCGCCAAATGTTTTCCACAGCGGTTTACTCTATATTGCAGCAGCTCCTAATATGCTTCAAGCACTCTCAATCCCAGGCACCCTCATAAGAGCACTCCCGCTAGTGGAACAGTGGTTCCCGCACGCACTTGGGCTTGGGATGTTGCAGAGGTAGGGTTTCTTACTACGAGTTGAGGGCCAGGAAGAGGCATCCCATTCGAAATTGGTCGATTCTTTAGAATTCTCTAAATTTGCTCAAAAGTCATGCCATTTGAAATTCGGTGGTTCGTGTTTCTCCTGTGATTCAAGTACCAGGTTCACCCGAACTCTAGGTGTTCCTATCATCAGGAAGAGACACAGTGCAAGTCTTGGTTTGAATTGAAGCGACTAGGAGAGAGAAAGCGCACCAGGGTGCCGCTACACTATACATGGAAGAGAACAGCTTATACTGACACATTGCAGCAACGCAGCCTCTATTTGTTATATCATTATGCGTCCTGCAAAAGTGAGCCATCGATGCATTGTTGCCTCTGATGTGTGCTTGTACAGAAACATGGGGTACAACTTGTTCTCAGGCAATCTTCCTGCATTGATTGGAAGCAGCATCAACCTTCAGTACCTGTGAGCCAACTGTCCCTTTTCCTACGAATGATCCTCCTTGCATGACCGCCTAAGCGTAAGCCTCCCTGCATTCTTAGGCCAAGAAAAGCCATGAGAAGCCAGGAGATGGAGAAGCAAGAGCCAAGCGGGTGCCCCACAAGCTTGACAGAGCTGGAAGGATGATCCAACCCTGCAATGCACAAGGACGGATCCACAAAGGTACCATATTACTTGTATCAGGCATGGGCGAAGGGCCGAGGGATTTGAGAAGCTGGCACCTCAAGAGCCGGTCCAAGGCCTCTCAACGAGCTGTGCGCTGCGCTGCACGAGCCGAGCCCATTGGACGAGCCGTGCGTTGCACGCAGCCCACAGTGGCTCTTAGAAACGTCGGCAAGCTGCCCACGGTGGCTCTTAGAAACGTCGGCAAGCTGCCCACGGTGGCTCTTTGAGCCGCCAGCTCGTGACGAGCCCCAGTGAGGGGCCTGTCGACACTGAGTGGGGTCGGACCTGGTGAGCGGATGTGCGCGAGCGTGGACTTGGCAAGAACTGCACTGCACTGCATGCCGGCGCGGCGGTGCACATCAGGAGCCGACGGGCTCGGCCCTTGCCTCCCCGACCCCGACTCAGCAGGAGCCTCCCGGCCCGTCCCTCTATGACCGACCAGCCACAAGCCGGGCTGACTCAGAAATCGGCTCGTCATGAGCCGGCCTGTCTCAGGCTCTCAGCAGCCCTCGCGGGGGACGAGCCCAGATGAGATCAGCTCGTTGCGAGCCGGGCCTGTCTTGGCCCTAGCTCATACCATATACGCTCTATCCCACAACTCGGTTGTGTTCAACGGGTTGCATCCAGGTCTAGTCCCTGGAAGAATCTCTCTGAAACCTTGCCTGCGATGACTTTTGAGAAGCCCCAGTAGTCTCTTTGACCCACCCCGCGGCTGTGTTCAAATGGTTGCAGGTCCTGTCAGTTTAACAATCTCTCGGGAACCTTGCCTGCGTCTCTGGGCAGCTTGACCAAACTGACTATCTTGTAAGTCGGGCCTTTGCACCCATCTGTGCACTCTGCTGCGGTCTTCAGTCCCGTCTGATTATTGATCGCGATGCGATGCGCCCTTTGCTTCACACATGCTTAAGGCGTGGTGCATTTGGCGCAAATCCCAAAGTTTGCTTTTATAGAATCGGTTTTCACCCCTTTTCTAAGTTCGATTCGATTGTGTAGTCGAAAAGTTGATTCTATGAGGTTCGAGCTGTGGGGCCGATATCCGGTAAGTCAAAATGTGACCGTCGAGGGTCGAAAAACGAGATTCGACCCTCTCAGAGCCGCGAATATACTAGGTTCCCCGATGTAACCTACGTGGCTCTGGCGTCGTCTTCGACCCACGTTCGAACACGCGGTCGAGTGACTGTCTGGTTACTTGACTTGTAGTTGACTTACCAAGTCTATATTCAAACCTTGTTTTTTGTTAAGTGCAAAGACTTTTGCGACATTCTTGAAGCCAGTAACCAGCTAAAGTTCGACCGGTTTTCCAAACTTCGACTCAAAAGCACCGCGCCCTTACATGACAACGTGCACAACATGACCGAATCACAGTCGTGATGTTTCTTCTGTTTGGCCTTGCTCAGGAACTTGGAGGGTACCTCGTTGTCGGGGGTGTTCCCTGCATCACTCGGGAACATCGCAACTGATTCAATACTGTGAGTGAGACAGCTCTAGTGCACTGCTGTAAGTTCTTGCACCTCTCTTACCCTGCTGGTTCATGCATAGTGTACTTTCCGCATATTTACGACAAATGACGATGTCCAAATTTGCTCATACTTATAAAGCTTTCACTTGATTGTAATTATCGTGCTATTATCTCACGCTACTTGCTCTTCTCATGCTAATAACTCTGTCTTCATATGCAATCTGCTCTGCTCCTCTCGTGTGCAGCAATCCTCCCCACACAGTGACATGCAGTGACATGACATGTCCCCAGGCAGGGCTATGCATGGTGGAATCTTCATACTTCCCATTGCTTATCTGCTCTGCTCCTCCTCGTGTGCAGCAATCTTCCCGACACAGTGACATGCCCCAAGGCAGGGGCGTGCATGGTGGACCAGCAGAGAGCCTCCGCCTTCTGCTCTCTCTGCCCCAACTTCTGCTCCTCCTGCTCCCCCTCCGGGCCTCTTTTCCTCGTGTGCAGTTATCTTCCCGACACGGTGACATGCCCCCAGGCAGGGGCGTGCATGATGGACCAGCAGAGATCATCCGCCTTCTGCTCTTTCTGCCCCAACTTCTGCTCCTCCTGCTCCCCCTCCGGGCCTCTTTTCCTCGTGTGCAGTTATCTTCCCGACACGGTGACATGCCCCCAGGCAGGGGCGTGCATGATGGACCAGCAGAGATCATCCGCCTTCTGCTCTTTCTGCCCCAACTTCTGCTCCTCCTGCTCCCCCTCCGGGCCTCTTTTCCTCGTGTGCAGTTATCTTCCCGACACGGTGACATGCCCCCAGGCAGGGGCGTGCATGATGGACCAGCAGAGATCATCCGCCTTCTGCTCTTTCTGCCCCAACTTCTGCTCCTCCTGCTCCCCCTCCGGGCCTCTTTTCCTCGTGTGCAGTTATCTTCCCGACACGGTGACATGCCCCCAGGCAGGGGCGTGCATGATGGACCAGCAGAGATCATCCGCCTTCTGCTCTTTCTGCCCCAACTTCTGCTCCTCCTGCTCCCCCTCCGGGCCTCTTTTCCTCGTGTGCAGTTATCTTCCCGACACGGTGACATGCCCCAAGGCAGGGGCGTGCATGATGGACCAGCAGAGATCATCCGCCTTCTGCTCTTTCTGCCCCAACTTCTGCTCCTCCTGCTCCCCCCCGGGCCTCTGCGCCTCCTGCAAACGACCAGGTGGGTGTGGCTTTTGAGGCGCCTCAAAAGGCCAGCGTGGTTTAGAATAGAGCACGCACCTTCTGCACTTTCTGCTTCAGATTCTGCTCCTCCTGCGAGCCACCAGGTGGGTGGGTGTGGGTCATGGAGAGGGGGATACGGGGCCAGCAGAGAGGGGATATGGGAGCAGCAAAAAGGGAGAAGAGGGAAAAAAGGGAGCAGCAGAAGGGGGCGATAAGCCTAAACTAAATGCAAAGTGGGGTGAGCCATGGTGTCTCACGTGAGTAGAGCCATGGTGTCTCACGTGAGTAGAGCCATGGTGTCTCACGTGAGTAGAGCCATGGTGTCTCACGTGAGTAGAGCCATGGTGTCTCACGTGAGTAGAGCCATGGTGTCTCACGTGAGTAGAGCCATGGTGTCTCACGTGAGTAGAGCCATGGTGTCTCACGTGAGTAGAGCCATGGTGTCTCACGTGAGTAGAGCCATGGTGTCTCACGTGAGTAGAGCCATGGTGTCTCACGTGAGTAGAGCCATGGTGTCTCACGTGAGTAGAGCCATGGTGTCTCACGTGAGTAGAGCCATGGTGTCTCACGTGAGTAGAGCCATGGTGTCTCACGTGAGTAGAGCCATGGTGTCTCACGTGAGTAGAGCCATGGTGTCTCACGTGAGTAGAGCCATGGTGTCTCACGTGAGTAGAGCCATGGTGTCTCACGTGAGTAGAGCCATGGTGTCTCACGTGAGTAGAGCCATGGTGTCTCACGTGAGTAGAGCCATGGTGTCTCACGTGAGTAGAGCCATGGTGTCTCACGTGAGTAGAGCCATGGTGTCTCACGTGAGTAGAGCCATGGTGTCTCACGTGAGTAGAGCCATGGTGTCTCACGTGAGTAGAGCCATGGTGTCTCACGTGAGTAGAGCCATGCCCCAGAAGAAGGCAGACGTGGTTTACCATCTCACCAGCAGCCGTTCAGCACTTCACCATTCGCCCAAGCCATGGGACACCTCAATATAGGCCTGCCTGATCCTCCAGTTTCTAGTCCCCAGGAGGAGGCACTCAGGTTTAGCAGAGCATTGTGTGCCTGCCTTAGCTCGTGCCTCCCTCAACCGCTTCTCTCTTTCTTTACCACTGGCCTTCATATTGTCACCTCTAGTTCTAAGCTCGTTCGTCTTCCTTGTGCCTCCTCACCCGTTCCTCTCGCCTGCCATACGCAGCGCAAGCAAACGCCTCCGGGAACTAGGTCACTTTGGGATCGACTCAAAGGTCACCTTTTTATTCTGCCTCCTCACCCGTTCCTCTCACCTACCGCCATTAACAGTGCAAACAAACGCCTCTGGGAACCCCACCACCACCACCACCGCGAGTCCTGCCGCTCCCACAAGCCCCTCCAATGCCCCCTCGGATTCAACCGGATTGTCCGCTGCGGCCATTGCCGGCATTGCTGTCGCCCTGCTGCTGCTACTGCTGCTGGTAGCTGCTGCTGCTGGTGGTGCGGCATGGTGGTGGCAGGCAAGGCAGACGCGTGCAGTCAGGACCGAGAAAAGCAAACGAGGTGGGCTGTGCACCTCTTTCTTGTGAGGTCGCATCTCTGACGTGTTTCATGCTGCCTCCTGGTCACGTTCAGAATTTGACTCTCCTAGTAGGAGTTTTAGATGTACGTAGGTGTTTGTCCTTTTGAACCCGCCATCTTGTTCCTTGTGCATCGTGCCCTGTTTCAAGTTCTGCGCTCCTTGTTCCTTGATGTATGAATCATCTCAGTGGGTCTATCAGGGGAGGTATGCCGGGAGTACACTCTCGACGAGGTGCGAAAGGCAACAGGCAACTGGAGCGAGGAGAATCGGCTGGGCTCGGGGGGCTTTGGGGACGTTTACCGGGGTGTGTCTCCCGACGATGGCACCACTGCATGGGCTGTGAAGCGCGCTAAAGTCATAACGAATGATTTCCACAATGAGGTGACCCTAGATACCCCTATGTTTGAGAGGCGCCTCAAAAGGCTTTGGAGACATGTACTGGGGTGTGTCTCCTGACGATGGCACCACTGCATGGGCTGTGAAGCGCGCTAAAGTCATCACCAATGATTTCCACAATGAGGTGAGTGTGACGTGACCATGGCATGGCTGCACCGCACTGCACCGTTCGCTCTCTCTTTGCACCACTGCATGGGCTGTGAAGCGCGCTAAGCTATGCTTCCAACGCTCTCTCTTTCTTCTCTATTGCTGGATGTGATGATGCCAAGTTTGAGGGTTTGACTTTAGAAGCACCGCGTTGAGTTGAATCGTTGTTAGCCCGCTGCTCATGAATGCGCGGAGCGGAAGCAAGCACCAAGCAAGCCTAATCGGAAAATACTTCAGGGGTTTCTTATTCGGTTCTCTCCCATTGAACCACCCTCTCTTTCCGCGCAGGTGACCCAGATGGCCGGCAAGCACCATCCCAACCTGGTGCGGCTGTTGGGTTACTCCATGGGGGGCGATGTGCGGTCGAGCATAGAGCAAGTCCTCATTTACGAGTTTGTGTCCCACGGAGACTTGGCGAAATGGGTTGGGAAAGGTGGGTGCTGGGTTCCCGTCATAAGCCTCTAAAACTGTACTGTGAACTGAAGGTTGTGTTTTTAGTCGACTCAAAAGAATCTTTCAAAAGAGTTTGTGGGCAAACATGGATTTCCCAAGGGATGTCTCTCTATCGGCACTTGTATTGTGATTCCCGACGTGCCCTTTCCTTTGTCTTATTCCTCAATGACTTGCATTCATGCCACCAGACGCACCAGCGCCCCTCACACTGCAGCAGCGGCTGGGCATCCTCATAGGGGCGGCGCATGGCTTTGAGTACCTCCACAGCTTTGGCATCGTGCATCGCAACATCAAACCCGCCAACATCCTGCTGGACTCAAAAATGAATGTGAGCCGGTATAGAGGTGCATGGGGAGGAAGGGGAGGGGAAAGGGGGACACCTGAGCAGGGATTCATGTGGATGTGATGCTGGAACTAGAGGGAAAAGGAAGGGTCTGCACTGCAGTACGCTCTGCAGCCCACCTGTCCGCTACTGACAGCACCTCCACAGCTTTGGCATCGTGCATCGCGACATCAAGCCCGCGCAACTTTCTACTAGACTCCCAACATGCATGTGATGAGAGGGGCACCGGAGGGGCTGCAGTACCTGCATGGCTTATGTCTTGCCTCTCCGGCTTGCGCACATATTTTGCCTGTCTCTCCGCCTTCCAGCCAAAGATTGCTGACTTTGGGTTGGTGCGGCTGGGGGAGGGCAGCACGGTGGGCGCCACACGGGTGATGGGCACTCCGGGCTTTGTGGACCCCGCGTACTGCAAGTCGCACATGGCCACCAGCAGCACCGATGTGTATAGGTAGGTACGACTCATTTGGCGAGTGGGTTGGGGAGGATTCGGTCAGAAGTTACTGCAAGTCGCAGAGGGCTTGTTTGGCTTTTGAGGTAACTTATGGCAGGTACGAATTGGCCGGCTTATGAGGCATCTCAAGACTTCGGTGATGGGCATTCCGGGATTCGTGGACCCCGCGTATGCAAGTCGCAGATGGCCACCAGCAGCACCGATGTGTATAGGTACTACTCATTCCGTTAAATACGATCACAGAAATTATTATATTTTCATTGTTTACTTTCGTGTGATGATCCGGCCGCTAAGTGTCAACAGTTCTATAATCCTTTTTTTTTTTTCCCTCCTCTCTGCTTTGTTCTGCTCATCTTTATGAACTGCAGCTTCGGAATCGTAATGCTTGTGGTGCTGACGGGACGCAATGTCAACTTTGAAGTGGATGGGAAGATGTGTAACCTCCTGGAGTGGGTAAGACGTGGAACCTTGTATGCAAGTAAGGAACGCACTTCACACGTGGGTGACGTTCCATGGAATGTATCCCAGCCGTTGGGTTTTCCAGACGCACTTGAATCATCACTTGAAGGCTGCTTGGGTTTTCCAGACGTTGTGATTTTGCAAGCTCCTCTTGTCACCCTCAGTCATCTTCTCTTTTAGCATCTCCATGGTAGCGGCACTTCTCTCGCTTTTGAGAATTCTCAAAGCACTTCTCTCGCTCGCTTGCAAGTTGCAGTCTCGCAACCCTGCCAGATAGGTTCTCCCATGTCAAACAAAGAGGCCTCCCCGCTGACGGACCCGGGCGTGGATGCTGAGGAGACCCCTGGCGATGTCATTCTGCGTGTTGCTGTCCTGGCCCTCACCTGCGCTGCCACTCTCACATCCCGCTCCCTCCTCCCACCAGGTGGGCTGCCTCGTCTCAGACGAAAAAGACGCCTTCCTGCTGAGAGACCCGCGCATGGAAGAAGAAGACGCACCTGATGATGTCATCCTGCGCGTTGCTCACCTGGCCCTCACCTGCACGGCCGCGCTCACGGTCACTCGCCCCAGCATGGCGCGCCTGGCCAATGACTTGGAGGGTATCCGGGGGGAGGTGGTGGGGGAGGAGGTGAACCGCGCAGCAGAGAGGGTGGATGAGGTGGTGCGGATGGGCACAGGGAAAATGAGGACTCTGGATGAGGAGTTGAAGATTGTGACCGAGTCGCTGGATGATGCTCGTGCAGATGCTGATGCTGAGTTGAGCTTTGAGGCAGAGAGATTGTTATCGTAGAGTGGTTGGTTGCACTGTTGGCTCATGACTTGGAGGCTATCTGGAAGGAAGTGGTGGGGGAGGAGGTGAACCATGCAGCAGTGAGGGTGGATGAGGACGAGGGATGAGGAGTTGAAGATTGTGACCGAGTTGCTGGATGCTCATGCTGAGACTGAGCTGGGCTATGAGGCAGACCGGTTGTTGCTGTAGAAATAATGTGGTGGTTGTTATAGTCACAGTAGGCTCCAATGTGCCTAAAAACGGAAGATAGAGTATACAGTCGGATTTCTGCACAGCGGCTTTAAACGTTCATAGCGATCTGCTCACAACTCCAAATGACTTCATTCAACTTGGATCTGGAGCGTCTTAAAGCTCAAGGCCCAAATTGTTCAACCTTACTAAGGTTGCCCTTTGGGTGGCGGGAGAGGAAGGTTGACCTTGTTGAAGTTGGGCTGTTCAGTTTCGCCCAGCTTCTCGCTACACCCTTAGGGTTTTCGCTGACTAAGCAAACCCCTGGGAGCAACTCGATTTGGTTCTCGAGTCCCAAATTGCACTCACAATATTCTTGGTGTTTCCTTCTCTCCTATTCGACAAAAAAACTGTTGGCCAATCAAATTGAATCGCACTTCACGTAACCACAATTCGCAGCCAAACAACAGTCAAAACACCACTCTCATCAACTTTAGTAAGCTTGCCCCGCGCTCTCTGCAATTTGGGCCTTGAGCTTTAACGTTGCCTACAATAGGCAATTTAGATCGCACGATTTCATCAGGAATTGACGACACAGCGTCGGTTTGAACGAACGGCACTATGGCAGCCACTATGGTCTTGGAACACACAATTAGGAAGAGTTGGCAAGAGTTACGAGTTGGGAATGACTCCCAACTCCTACAAACCCCAAGAGCCGAGGTACAGTGATGTGGAATAGTGCCACACTGTCCCCAACCACGAAGGGTCTCGAAACTACCCTTCACTAGGGCCTACACCAAGTGAAATGTTACGCTACACAAAGTAATGTAACTATCTTCAATATCTTGAGGTGTACCCTTTTCGCGGGCTTCGCGATCACTTGAATGTTGACACCAGGGCTCAGGTTCTTCATCACAAACTCATCCTTGAGTTCTTGATGGGTCTGCCGCACACACCTGCGACACGCCGAACGTTCGACAAGCGACAAAAAAGAAACCGCGCACGACAAAATAGAACCGCGCGCGAGACACAAATGACCGCATTAACACGCGGCTAGCGATAACTCGCTATTGACTTGACACACACACTCGACATCATGACCCATCATACACACACTATTATAAGCATGAAATATATATTATCCCATGCCCTCATACCATTCCATGCACACACGCATGCACGCACACGGACAACAAGCCGAGTGCAAACCGTAGGTTGCACCAACAGTGGTGGTGATGGTGGTGAGGTGAGGTGAACTGCGCAGCAGTGAGGGTTGGTGTGGCTGGGCAGAGGGCAGAACAGGACCCTGGATGAGGAGCTGAAGATTGTGGCCGAGTCGGACTGAGTTGGGTGGGCTGTGAGGCAGGGAGGTTGTTGTCGGAAACTTTTTGTCTCCAGACAGTGGCTGGCAGCAGATATGGGGCTGTTTTGGCTGTTATGTACTGAACAGGATCAGGTAAATCTGCTGCTGTGAGATCATGATGACATGGCAGGGTTGTGAGAGCCGGTTTCCGGAATAATGCACAGTTGAGTCAGCTATAAATGCATATCTGACATGGCACACATGCGCGTTTCGGGTTTGAGACGCCTGGCATTCTGTACTGGAACCAGGCAGGCATCACAATGCTTAAAGCCCCTCTCTTTGTGATGCCTGTTTATATGAATGCACCTCTGTGTTGTCCCAATATGATAGAAAGCATGAATCACATTTACAAATTGAATTGAACCCCCCAACTTGATCAGTCTTACCCAGTGCCCCACAGCTCATTCACAATAGCAGGCCCGATAGTACAGCCTAGGAAGGGACACTGTAACATACGGTATTCCAGGGGGCAGCGTAATGACTACTCATGACTGTACAATGTGTTACAAATGTACGTGCAAAAACGAAAACCTGCAGCATTGGTAGCCTAATTGGAGACCATGGTTTCTGTCTCCTGCACGAACCCATCGCCCGTCCACTCCTTGTCGGACGCAAGCCCTCTCTTGGCCGCATTGCGCTGCTCCACCGCCTCCCTCTGCCGCCTCACCAGGTCCGTGTGTGTTGTGAAGTACTGCAGTGAATGCCTGGGGATGGAGGGGCGTTGGGGGAGGGAGGGATGAGGGGGAGGAGGGGGGGGTTGGTGGGGTTGAGGCACCTGAAAACCCTCTGCCACTGCACCAGGTCCGTGTGCCTGGTGAAATACTGCAGCGAGTGGCCGAGGAATGGATTCCACACAGGGGGTTGAAGTGGAGATGGGAAAGAGGGGGGGAGGGGAGAGTGAGGGGGATGGAGGGTTGGGTAAGAAAGAGGGAGACATACAAGAGCTGGTGAAAGGTAAAAAGCACACCAGAGTTACTGTGGGAAATGGCCGAAAGCCGTGATTAAGTATTGTCATCCCAGGCAACGCTGCTGCTGAGTGCTCGTACCCTTTAAAGTCGCTGATAGACGTGAAGCCGTGCTGCTCCATGAACCCCTGTAGGCCCCCACAGAGCGACTTGACGAGCCCATAGCCATGCAGCATCACCCCCGTGCACACCTGCCGGAGATGATGGGATGTGGCATGGAGATGTGTGGAATGGGGAGCATGAATGTCAACAGGAAAGGCACAAGCTGGCACCAGAGCGACTTGATGAGCCCATATCTATTGCAGCATCACCCCCGTGCACACCTGCAGAGATGATGGGATGTGCGTGTGAGCCGAATAACATGCACATAACATGCAGAAGGAGGACAGATGGCTAGGCAGACGAACACATGTGCAGATGCTGTTTGACATGCATGCATGGAGAGCATGGATAAGAGCTGCAGGTCTTAGCATGGATAGAGACCCGCCAGTGTCATGCTCTCCAGGATAGGTTCTTTTGCTCTTGAGAACCCCACCCACCAGTGCCAGCCTTAAATGTGGTCTGCGCTGCACCACGTCCTACCCACTTGCACCACAGTCCACCACGTCACACCCACCTGCACCGTATCAGCTCCCAGCAGGATGAACTCAGCGGCGTTCTCCCCCGTCTCCACGCCACCAATGCCAGACAGCGACTTGCCCTGCCCTGGGAACTTCTCCGCCTGCATCCTTGCGATTTTCATCACATGCGCCAGGGCGATGGGCCGCACTGCCTTGCTGGAGTACCCGCCTGGCGTTGTGTAGCTGTGGGGAGGTGTGGGTAGGTGAGATTTGAGGACGGGCGGGATGGAAAGAGAGAGCACGAGAAAATGCAATGGTTGATTCATCTTGCCGCCTGCATCTTCACAATCTTCATCACGTGCGCAAGGGCTATAGGCCGCACTGCCTTGCTCGAGTACCCGCCTGGCGTTGTGTAGCTGCAAGTGATGGGGGAAGATGAGGTGGGGGGCAGTCAAGAGGGAGATGAGTGTGTAAGCAGGGAGACTGACACAGGGAATTCTGCTGCTGCTGCTCTCCGGCCTGAAGCACAGGCTCGAGATGGGAGGAGAGGCATGCGATGGGAGAGGCATGCGATGGGAGAGGCAGCGCCACCCACTCACTCACCCTTCAACGCATGGCTCGGGCCTGAGCGTCTTGAGGTTGACCTCCATGACGCTTGTGATGGTGTTGATGGCGCTCACTCCCTCGCACCCCGCCTCCAGTGCCACTTGCGCTGGCTGCACGTTGAGAAGGGAGAGGGAGAGGGAGAGGGAGAGGGAGAGGGAGAGGGAGGAGAGCAATTAGAGGCAGACAAACGGCCACGAGTGAAGTTTTGAGGCGCCTCAAAACGAGTGAAGAGGTGCAAAAAGGGTGATGGCTCTCATGCTCTCACTGCACGCCTCTCACTCCACCCTTGCTAATCCCCCCTCCCTCTCCTCATCCTCAGCAAGCCCAACTCATCCTCATACCTGGGAGATGTCGGTGATGTTGGGAGTAATCTTGGCCCACATGGGGATGGACGGATGAGGCGATTCTCATCAACCTGCATAATGCATGGGTATAAAGTCTCAAATTACCCACCTGGGTGATGTCGGTGATGTTGGGGGTCATCTTGGCCCACACGGGGATGGACGGATGAGGCGATTCTAATTAACCTGCATAACGCATGGGTATAAAGTCTCAAGGTACCCACCTGAGTGATTTCGGTGATGTTGGGAGTCATCTTGGCCCACACGGGGATGTGGGAAGCGGCGTTGATCCACCCGCACACCTCGTGCAGCAGCTCGCAGTCCTGCCCCATCGCCATGCCCATGCGCCTCTCCGGCATGCCGTGTGGGCACGAGAAGTTGATCTCAAACGCGTCCTGAGAGGGAGGGAGACAGGAGAACTCGAAGAAAATTTGTCTTTTGAGCCGACTCAACAGTCACATCGCTATGCCCATGCGCCGCTCCGGCATGCCATGTGGACACGAGAAGTTGATCTCAAACGCGTCCTGAGAGGGAGGGTGCGGGGAATTTGGAGAGAAATGGCTTTACACTCGCCTCAAAAGGCACGAGAAGTTGATTTCAAACGCATCCTGCATGAGGATGAAGGGAGAGAATGCAAGGAAATCGCACCGCAATCATTGCTGCTAGACCTCTGATTGTTTGGTTCCTGACTTCAATGATAATGCCCCACAGCACATGCCTCCTCATGCAACAGTGCAGTCAACCATTTATGGTCCATCACATCACACAATGCTTGTTGTGACTCAACTCCTCCGCTCCGCCACACAAGTTACAGTCTGGTTCAGTCCGGTTCAGTCCAAGTTCAGTCCAATTCAGTCCAGTCCGGTGCAGCCCAGTCTGGTTCAGTGCATTTTAGCCCAGTTCCTCCAGTCCACTTCAACGCACTCACCACGCCGACCTCCTCGCAGCGGCCAATGATCTCCTCCAACGCGTCCTTGTTAAACTCCTCCATGATGGACGCAATGAGCACGCGGTCGAAGTACTCTGCCTTGAGCTGCTTCATACCAGTCCATTCCAATCCGGTTCAGTCTGGTTCAATGCATCCCAGTCCAGTACAGTGCAGTTCAGTGCAATGGAACACAAAAAGCCCAATCAAACGCACTCACCACGCCGACCTCCTCGCAGCGGCCAATGATCTCCTCCCACGCGTCCTTATTGAACTCCTCCATGATGGACGCAATGAGCACGCGGTCCGGGTACTCCGCCTTGAGCTGCTTCAGCTCCGCCAGCATCACTTCGAACGGCCGGTCGCTGATCAGCTCGATGTTCTGCCACCCTATCACGTCGCGCGAGTGCGGCGCGCGCAGCTTCGCGTAGCGCGGCGTCACGTTCACCACCTTGGAGGAGTCGAGGGAGAGCTGCGCAACCGGGGGAAAGAGAGAAACGGGGAACGGGGGACGTGCGGAGATAAATGGAAGCGGGTGAGTGGGGCTCGCAGCGACGCGTAGCGCGGGGTGACGTTCACCACCTTGGATGAGTCGAGGGAGAGCTGCCGGGAAGGAGGGGCGGGAGGGGGGAAATGGGAACACGGGGATATGGAGATACAGGGAAAGGCCGGAGAGGGGAAACGAAAAGGGGTGAGAAAAGCGCGCAGCTTGGCACAGCGCGGTGTCACGTTGACCACGACGAGTCGAGGGAGAGCTGAAGGGGGCGGGGAACCGTGGGAAACGAGGAAAGGACGGAGGGGCGATGGGAAAGGGCAGAGAGAGAACGGGAAGGGACGGTTTCCAGCTTGAAGTGACGTGTGGTGGAGTTTAGGACCGACGCGGGGTGGCAGATGAGTGAATATTAAGTCACCTCAAAAAGCGTGAGGAACGGGTGGTGATAATAGCACGGCGGGACTGAAAGTCCGCAGCGTTAAGAGAGAACACGTACCAACGAGCTGAATACGAATTAAAGGTAAAATTGAGAACCGGAAAGTGAAACAAAAAGATGTGACGAGCGGCATACTAGATTCGAATGGGCAAATTCAGGAAAAAAACATCATCAGAATATCTTTTTCCTCTCGTCATTTTCTTTTCCATTTCTTTCTCTGTCCTCTCTCTCCAGGAACAAGGTCATCGCGACTCACCGTCTTGCAGATGACGCCGCCCCAGCCCTCGTCGAACGCCTTCTTCATCACCACGTAGTTCGTCCCGGGCGGCCCCGAAGCGATGACGAACGGGTTGGGCAGGCAGATGAGGTTTGAGTGAAGCCTTTCTTCTTTCTCTCGCTGAAGAAACAAAGGCGACCGCGCAAAACTCACCGTCTTGCAGATGACGCCACCCCAGCCCTCGTCGAACGCCTTCTTCATGACCACGTAGTTGGTGCCGGGCGGCCCCGACGCGATGACGAACGGGTTGGGCAGGCGCAGCCCGTTCACCTCGACGCTCAGGTCCGGCCCCTCCTGCACCTTCCCGTCCACCAGCTTCGCCGCGCGCGACGCTGGCGCGCCGTTGCCCGTCGACGCGGCGGTGGGGTTAATTCGCCCGCGAGAGCGGGAGAGGGAGAGAGACGCGGTTTTGATTTTCAAGGGTGGGGAGAGGCTGTGAGCGGAGCTGAGTGTCTTGACGGCTTTCGCGCTGGTGAGAGGACTCCAGGTGGGAACTGACTTCGTCATTGCTGTCGCCATTTTATAATAAGTTGAAGCGAGCCAAGCCGAGAATTTCAGCGACAATTGAGCGTGAAGTTATAACAGCGTGCTCGAGCGGGACTGAAGCACGAAGGGCAAGCGCGATGTCAAAATCTGGAATCGGTGGACCAAGAAATGCTTGAAAATGGAATGAAATTATGCAAGAATTCTGAAGCCGGACAACGGAGCGACTTTGCTGGAGCACCTCAAACACGGGACCCCATTCCCAGATATAGTAATCCTGACTGTGTCCCAAACGGTAAGACATTTCGTCGTGAGGCGAACACAATATCCGCAGACCCGTGTCTCAAGAATCTTGTTTAACGAAGAGACTCACAGCTCAGATCGTTGATTGAACACTTCCTGGAACCAGGACCCTACCCTGTGCAGGTGGATATGCATCGTCTGTTGAAGCCACGTCGGCATCTGGGTTTTCCACCTAGGCAGGGCGTTAGCTGAGAGGACATCTGGTGAGTGGCTTGTCAGCTCTACCATGGCAAACCAGATGTACAGCCAATCAAAACAGAGGGCCAATAACAATGTAGAATGACACAAATGAGACAACCAATAGGTAGGAAATGACTTGTAAGTTCCCCATTTTAGCGACGTTCACTGGGGTTTTTGGCATTTATAATGTCAGCAGTGTTGCAGGCAGGACCTCAGATATCAGCTTAAAACACGCTGATTGCGCTGATTTTGTAGCTCAGATTTTCGTTTTCCCTGGAAATTCAGCATATGCTTCAATTTTGCACTGAAATTTCAGTATAACCTATTTTGTCACACTGACCATTTTGCGTGTTACCGTGCAAGTAACACTGACGAATCAGTATAGTGTAACGAGTCACACTGATTCGGACATGATAGGGTATGGGTGTACAGGGGGTGTTCAAACCAGATTCCCGCAAAAAGGGCGTAACCCACTCAGATAGCTCCCCGCCTACGGGAATCGAACCCGAGACCTTCGCGATTACAAGACATAATCCAAACAACTACGGCAGAACACTGTTAGAAATTTTCTGTGCTAATTTTTATACCGATTATTCAGTTTCCCTTGAAAATTCACACTGAAGAAATCAGCATAAGTTTATGTCAGAGGTCCACTTGTGATCCCCGATTGATCATAGGGAAGGGTTACAGGCTCGTTGTCCTAGGGGGTTATGGGCGCACTGACCCGCTACTTAACAAGCCCTTTTATCCCAATGGCAGGGCCTCAGATTCGTTTTTAGCTGGGCTGATACGTCAGCCTTAGCAGGCTACGCTAGGCTGATCAATCAGAGCTGGGTATAAAAAAAAAACCTGAAATTTCAGACAAGTCCAAAAAAAAAACGCTGACTAAACAGCCTCATTAAAATGTTTAGGCTGATCTATGTTTCAGCACTATGATCATTAATTTTAGCACGAGACAGCACATTCACTACACTACTCACTACATAACACTACACTACACTACACATGACATTACACTACAGTACACTACACTACACTACATCAGCTGCACATTTCATCATCTTCATCACTAGAACTACCTCCTGCATCTCCTACCATCTCCTCATCATCTACATCTACTGGCTCCTCATGCTTGCCCTTCTTGTTGTCGCCTGGGGTTGGGGTGCAGATGGGCGCATTGCTGAACGGCTTGCGCTTCTTGTAACTCCGCCAGATCTCAACTACCTCATCGTAGTTGGGCTCGTACTGCATCAGGGACAGACACATGAGGTCCCCCAGTCTCGCGTCCTTGAGCCCCCCTCGCCGCCATGTCTTAATCACGTTCTGCCGCGTGAATCCCCTTTCACACTCCACTGTGCTGAGGGGAATCACAGCCACCGCCACCCAGAGCTGCACCAGATTGGGGTAGCTCTCCCTCCAGTCTGGCGTCTTGAGGATCGCCGTTAGGCCGCTGTGGACGCCCCTCTCTTCCTTGGGCGCACGCGCAAGGACTGAACAAAAGAGGCGCAGCTCCTTGCCTGCCTGCCTCTTGTTGATGCCTGGCGGAAGGGACGGAGGCAGGGTGAAGAAGAGGCAAATGAGCAAACAAAACAAAGGATTGTAAAGCATATTAGTGAGGCAATGAGTGCACAAATCAGGCATAACGAACCTGGCAATATCTCCTCGCGCTCCTGAGCCTTGAACATGGTCACCAGCGAGTGGAGCCACTGTCAGAACATTATATAGCTTATGCTGTTGTGTAGGCTATAGTGGGGTATCCCATAGGGGGTACAACCCAATTAGGGTTTCCTATATGTACTCACTTCATTCATAGTTCATTCATTCTTGTTAAAATCTTCTCATGGTATCGAGCAGGTTCCCCCTTGGGAACTGTGCTTAGGGCCCACCACATCGATTTTTTTTTTTTCCTGCCCGAAGCGCGCTCAGCCCGAGTCGCGCTCCGGGCCCTCACTTCGTCGAGCCGCCCTAGCGGCCCTTCACTGCGGCCCCGCCACCCGTCTTCGCGGCCCCGCCGCCTCTCTCCTACCGGCCCCGCCGCCCTACCTAGCGGCCCCGCCGCCCTACCTCGCGGCCTCGCCGCCCCATTGCGCGGCCCCGCCGCCCTACCTAGCGGCCCCGCCGCCCTCACCCGCGGCCCCGCCGCCCCATCGCGGCCCCGCCGCCCCATCGCGCGGCCCCGCCGCCCTACCTAGCGGCCCCGCCGCCCTTCCTCGCGGCCCCGCCGCCCCATCGCGCGGCCCCGCCACTCTACCTCGCGGCCCCGCTCCCCTATCTCGCGGCCCCGCCGCCCTACCCAGCGGCCCCGCCGCCCTTCTGCAGCGGCCCCGCCGCTCCTCTGCAGCGGCCCCGCCGCCCTACCCAGCGGCCCCGCCGGCCTTCTGCAGCGGCCCCGCCGCTTCTCTGCAGCGGCCCCGCCGCCCTATCAAGCGGCCCCGCCGCCCTTTCTGCAGCGGCCCCGCCACTTCTCTACCGCAGCCGAGCCGCCCAGCAGCAGAGCAGCCGAGCCGCCCCGCCGCCGAGCCGCCCTGCCGCCGAGCCGCCCTGCCGCCGAGCAGCCCGGGAGCCGAGCCGCCCAGCAGCCGAGCCGCCGAGCCGCCCAGCCGCCGGGCCGCCCTACTGCCGAGCCGCCCGACCTGCCCTGCCTGGTGAGCACAGCACCACTGTTACTGCGTGCCCTTCCCCTACTGCTTGCACTACTACACTGTCGTCGTCATGGCTACCCCTAGTGTCCTCGCTTTTGACGCTGAGGGTCGAGCCATTGACTTTGAGGTCTGGGTCGACGACCTGCAGCTGTTCTTACAGTGCGATAGGGCGGACGGTCTTTCCCTCTTTGACCTCACCTCTGGCGCCTCTCCTGCCCCTGCTGCTGATGCTGACCCCACTGTTCGCTCTCAGTGGGCCACCCGCGATGCTGCTGCACGTCTTGCTGTGCGTCGCCACCTGCCTACCACTGAGCGCGCGCACTTTAGTCAGTACAAGAGTGCTCAGACCTTGTACGACGCTGTAGTTGCGCGCTACTCTTCCCCTGCCACTGCTGCCCTGAGCCGCCTCATGCTACCGTACCTCTTTCCTGACCTTGCTGCCTTTCCCACTGTCGCTGACCTCATTACGCACCTCCGCACTAGTGACACTCGCTACCGCGCCGCCCTTCCTGCTGAGTTCTGCGCCAAGAACCCCCCCCCCCATGTACATCACTCTCTATTACATAGTCACACGCCTCCCTGACTCCCTTCGCGTAGTCAGGGACCACTTCCTCTCAGTCTGTCCCACCACTCTCACTGTCGACCTCCTCGAGAAGTCCCTCCTGGCGGCGGAGAAGAGCATCGTCGCTGTAGGAGCCTCTCGTGGTGACCCTCGCACCCCCATCTTTGAGGGGTGTTCTCCTTCCCCCCTGCTGCCCTCTGTTGCCTCTGCTGCTGCTGCCGACCTGCTTGGTCTTGAGTCGGTCTGCGCGGCGTCTGCCCCTAGCGGGAGACGCCGCCCTGGCAGGGGCAAGGGGGGCAAGGGCGCGGGTGGAACTGGCGGGGGCGGTGGAGGTGGCGGTGGAGGCGGCGGAGGGAGTGGGGGTGGCGGTGGGAGTGGTGGCGGGGGCGGTGGTGGCGGTGGCAGCAGCGGAGGAGGAGGCGGTGGTGGCGGCAGCGGTGGGAGCGGAGGCAGCGGTGGTAGTGGAGGTGGAGGCGGCGGTGGCGGAGGGGGTGGAGCTGGTCGGGGTGGTGCCCCGCAACGTAGCGGCTCTGGTGGTGGCCAGCGTCAGCAGCAGCAGCAGCAGCAGCGTTCGCGGGACATTCCCCCGCCCCAGCAGCTCCGTGAGTGGTACACGCAGCGTCAGCGGGGTGGGGGTTTTGGTCCGTGCACCTACGTCCTTCGTTCCGGCGACCGCGCGGGTGAGCAGTGTGGGGGTGCCCACCCCACCCAGCGCTGCTTTGGCCGCCTGACGGACGCTTGGCGTCAGCAGTTCCCCGAGGCTAGTGAGATTCCCCGTTGGGGAGAGCTGTCTAGGGCTGGCGTAGCTATCTTTGATCTTGACTTTGATGCTATCCTTGCTGCCATGTATGCTGTGACTATTAGTGAGGAGGGTGACTGTTACCGGTGTTTCCCGCCCGACCCGGGCATTGGTACTGCTGCGCTAGGTACTTCTGCGGCTGCTGCTCTAGGTGCCAGTGCGTCTGCACTCTCAGGTACTGGTGAGGCTGCGCTCTCAGGTACTGCGTCGGCTTCGGCCTCCCTCACCTTCACGCTTGACTCAGGAGCTTCTCGCTCCTTCTTTCGAGACCGCACCACACTCACGCCGCTTGGCCGGCCGGTTGCAGTCTCCCTGGCTGACCCCTCTGGGGGTCCTGTCCTCTCTCACTTCTCCACTGTCCTCCCGTGTCCGGCTGCCCCCTCGGGCACCTTGTCTGGTCTGTACCTCCCCTCGTTCTCGACGAACTTGGTGAGTGGTGCTGACCTGCAGGATGCGGGGGTTCACCAGTTCACTCCTGCGAGTCAGCGGGTGACCCACTGCTCGGACGCCCGCACAGGCCGACACCTGGCCACGTTTT